ATAAGATGGACTGCAGTGATATCACTGGGGACCAGTGACATCACAGGGGACTGATGAGAACAAAGGCTAAGCCCTGTTGTCACAGGGACATCGGTGACATCACAGGGGACATCAGTGACTTCACAAGGACAGGGGTGACATCACAGAGACACCAGGGACACTATCTGGGACATTGTCGACATCACAGGGGACATCAGTGAAATCACTGGGGAACAGTGAAATTACAGGGGAATGGTGAAAACAAAGGGACATCAGTGAGGTCACAGGGACGTCAATGACAGCACAGAGACAGGGATGAAATCAGAGAGACAGCTGTGACATCACTGAGGACCAGTGACATCACGGGGGACTGGTGAAAACAAAGGGATAGTCACGATGTCACAGGGACATGGATGATGTCAAAGGTGTCTGGTGACATCGCAGGGACATGATGCCATCGCTGGGGACAGTGGTGACATCACAGAGACAGCAGTGACATCACTGAGGACCACTAATGTCACAGGGGACTGTTGACAACAAAGGGACAGCAGTGATGTCACAGGGACATTGGTGACATCACAGGGGACTTCAGTGACTTCACAAGGACAAGGGTGAAATCACAGTGACACCGGTGACATCATCTGGGTCATTGTTGACATCACAGTGGACAGTGGTGCCATCACAGGGACGTGGGTAACATCACAGGGGACTGCTGACAATAAAGGGACAGCTCTGATGTCAGAGGGACATTGGTGACTTCACAAGCACAGGGTTGACATTATAGAGACACAAGTGACATCATTGGGGACATTGCTGAAGTCACTGGGGACAGTGGTGACATCACAGGAACAGAGGTTACACCATTGAGGAATAGTGACATCACAGGGGACTGGTGACAAAAAGAAAAGCCGTGATGTCACAGGGAGATTGCTGACATCACAGGGGACATTGGTGACTTCACAATGACAGGAGTGACATCACAGAGACACCAGTGACATCATCGGGGACATTGGTGACATCACAAGGGACTGGTGACAATAATGGGAAGCCATAATGTCACAGGGACATTGGTGACATCACAGGGGATTTCAGTGACTTCATAATGACAGGGATGACATCACAGTGACACCAGTGACATCATCAGGGTCATTGTTGACATCACAGTGGACAGTGGTGACATCACAGGGAGATGAGTGACATCACTGGGGATCAGTGACATCACAGGGGACTGTTGACAGCAAAAGGACAGCTGTGACTTCACAGGGACATCACTGGCATCAGTGACATGACGGGGACCAGGTGCCACAGTTCGGCACAGTGGTGACATCACAGAGACAGCAGGACATCATTAGGGACATTGTTGACATCACAGGGGACAGTGATGACACCACAGAGACACCAGTGACATTAACGGGGACATTTGTGACAGCACGGGGGACACTGGTGACTTCACAAGGCTGGGGTGACATCACAGAGAGACCAGGTTTGTCTGGTTCTTTTTTTGCCCTCAGGTCTACCTGGTAGTTTTTGGCCCTCAGGTCTGTCTGGTTCTTCATGGCCTTCACGTCTGTCTGGTTCTTTTTGGACCTCAGATCTACCTGCTTCTTAATGGCCCTCACGTCTTTCCGGATCATTTTGGCCTTCAGGTTCGTCTGGTTCTTTTTGGCCCTTGGGTCTGTCCGGTTCTTTTTGGTCCGCAGGTCTACCCGGTTCTTTTTGGCAGTTTGGAACCTGGTGGAGTAAGAGGAACCTCGAAGCATTTTGGGAACCTCAAGGAACAAAAGGAACCCCAAAATGTTTTGGAACCTCACAGAACACAAAGGACATCTGGAGCAACAAAGGAACTCCCCAACTTTTGAGGGTTCTGGGGGTCCCCCGCTGTGTTCAGTCTGTTGGGAGATCCCCTGTGTTTTTGGGGTCCCCCCTCTCTGGGGTTCGGCCTTTTCTGGGCTGTTGGAGATCCTGGGAATCACGGGGGGTCCCCCCTTGATGCTGAAAATACCCCGGAATGATGAATTGCTCAGAGACCTCCCCCATTAGGTGACCTGAATCCTTCAAGCCTGCAAAGTCCTGGTTCTGGGCATTCTGTATCCCATTGCAACATCTCATTTACCTGATTTATTCTTCCAGCAGAGCAGGGAGAGCAAACAGGACAAGCTTTACCAGCTGAACCCTTGTTAACTTTTGGACCTTTTTTTTGGTGCCTTTTTGCCATCACCCTCTCAGAGCCCCCTGTTTCAGGGTCCGGGGGTCCCCGGTCCCCCCACACCCCTCTCTGCTCACCCTCTCCATGTTTCCTCCACCTCCCCGCCCACGCCGGCTGCTGGGGTCCCTCAGCTCTGCTGTGACCCCTCTCTGCTTCTCCCACTCCCAGGTCCCTAAAAAAGGGTGTCATCGCGTCCCCCTCCCCCGCCGGGACCGGGTTGACCCCGAAACACCAACCCCCACCGCGGGGGAGTCCCCGCATCCCCCCGCCCAATCCTGGGGCTCTGCCGGGAACCCACACCGGGATCCCCCTCCCCCCGTAAAAAAAACACAAACAAACAAAAAACCTCCAGGAGTCCCCCTAAGGTCCTCCCGAGGGACATTTGCGGCTCAGCTTCGGAGCTCCAAACATCGCCCCCACCCCCGAAACCACCCCGGAGGCCCCTCCCCCAAAATATCTGAGAGGAGCTCTCCCCTCCCCCCGCGGCAACGTGAGGGATTGGGGGGAAGATGCTCCTCCTCTCTCCTCCTCTCCTCCTCCTCTCCTCCTCCTCTTCCTCCTCCCGCCCCTCCTCCCGCTCCTCCTCCCCCCTTTCCGTTCCACGAGCGAAGAGCTCGCCCGGTAAGTTTGGGTTTGGGGGGGAATGGATGGGAAAAAGGGAGAGGGGAAGGAGAAAGGGGGAGGTGGGACCCCCAAAGAGAGCGAGAGAGGGGGTGGGACCCCCAAAGAGACCGACCGAGGGCGGGAGGGGAGGAAGCCGGGGTTGATGGGGGGGGAGGGGTGGGCGACGGGAAAAGGATGGGAGAAGAAAATAAGGGGAGGTGGGAGAGCGGGAAAGGGGTTTCTGTTGGGGTCCCTTCGCGTCCCCATCGCTTGATCCCCGGCCAGGGGGACGTCCGGGACTGAGGTTTGTTGTCGATTCCCGGCGGGCCGAACAAAGGCCCCGGCCACGTGTCAGGAACTCTTTGATTGTCCCCAACACTCCCAGAGTTCCCCAATTCCCCCCTACCCCGCCGCGGCTCCCCAAAGTGGGGATATCGGAGAGGGGGGAACCCTGGGAGTGCTTTTTTAGGGTGAATCTTGGTGTTTTGGGGTGAATCTTGGGGCTGCCGGGTGGGGGGGGCACAGTGCTGGGAAAGGGGAGTTGGAGGGGATCCCAGGGCCAAGGAAAGGGGAGGGCAGGGATCGGGAGAGGTGGGATGGGGGGTCCAGGGAGAGCCTCTGCAGGGGGGTCACTGGTGTCGGGGAAAGGGAGGGTCGTGGAGGGGTTGTGAGAACGTCCAGAAAACGGGGTCCAGGGGGTCCCCCGGTGTTCAAAAACAACAACAACAAAAAAGGGGGATTCAGGAGTCTGGAAAAGACAGGAATGGGGATCCAGGGGTTACCAGCATCAAGGAAAAGAGGGGCCTGGGGGCTGCGAGAGGCAGGAGGGCCGGGAAAGGGGTTGTTGCAGGGGGTCCTGGAGCTGAGGAAGGGGGTGAAAGGGAGTCCCAGTGCTGGAAAGAGGTGCAGGGGGGTCCTGATGTCCAGGAATGGGGGTCCAGGGAGTCCCAAGGTAAAGGCAAAGGGACTGTGGAGTCTGGGAGAGGTGAGATGACCAGGAAAGGGGGTGCAGGGGGGTCCTGGTCCTGGATAAGGGTGTTCACGGGGGATCTGGTGTACAGGAATGGGGAGTTCAGGGGGTCCCTGGGGCACCCCAGGACTGCCCGGCAGGATAAGCCAGGAGTGGGGAACTGGGGAGACCTGGAGATTTGGGGATCAGGGTGGTCCCAGGGTCAAGGGAAGGGAGAAACTGGGAGAGCTGTGAGAACTGGGAAGGGGCTTCAGGGAGTCCTGGAGTCAAGGAAAAGGGGGGCTGGGGCTGAGGTGACGGGGGATGGCCAGCCAGGAAACAGGGGGATGCAGGGACTGGGAGAGGTGGGATGGTGAGGAAAGTGGGGGCAGGGAGGGGGGTCCTGGAGTCAAAGAAAGAGGGGTCTGGGGTCTGGCAAACCGGGACTGGCCAGGCAAGGGGGACCCAGGCCAGGAGGATGGGGAAGAGGAGGAGGAACAGCCGGTGGGGGCTGCTGAGACCCCTGGAGTGGGGAGTGCAGAGAGGGATGGTACCAGACCCACGGGACCCCCAGCAGAATGGAAGTCATGAAGGGGGGAACCTGCAGAGACAGGAAGTTTTTAGGGTTCCCCCAGGAACCCTGGAGAGGGGGTACCTTGGGTCCTCTGGGACACTGAAGTGGGAAGCCTGGAGAAGGGCGAGTCCTGGGACCCCCAGCAGCCCAGATGGGCGGACCCCAGAGAAAGGGGAGCCCGGAGAAGGGGGACCCCTGGGATTCCCAGGACCCACAGCAGCCTGGAGAGGGGGAGACCCCGGGGAGGTAGGACCCCTGAGACCCCTCAGCACCCCAAAGCAAAGAGTCAGGGGAGAAGGGACCCCTGGGGCCTCCAAAATCCCCAACATCCCTGAGCAGGGGGACCCTGGAGGGGGAGGAAGTCCAGGACCCCCAGGAACCCAGAGAGGGTAGGGACCCTTGGGAGGGTGGTCCCCCAATACACAAGAAACCCCCCCAGCAGCCCAAACAGGAGGGACCTCCCAGAACTCCAAAGTGGAGAGACTTGGGAGGGGAACTCCTGGAAGGGTTTTTTTTTCTGGTCTGAATCTTGGAGTTCTGGTTTGTTTTTTTTTTTGGGGGGGCGGGGGGGCTTTTGGTGTTTTTGAGGTTTTTGTGGTCCCAGGATGCTGGGTGAGTTCTGGAGATGGACATGGCCAGGAGGAACCCCCAAACCAATGCACTCAGTCCTTGTTTCCCCCCAGCAGGATTTGTCCTTCCCAAAGCTTGGGCAGATGGAGGAGGAGGCTGCGAGGAAGAGGAAGCTGCTGTGGGCCCCCCAGGCAGGTGAGGAGGAAGTCAGTGCCCCTTTGACCCTTTCTTGTGGTGCTGGGGCAGGATTTGGGGGGATGTCCTTGGCCTTCCCTCTGGACCGGAGGCAAATCCCCTGCCTGTCCTTCTTCCTTCCTGCCCCAGGCCCCGAGCTGAGGACGGAGAGCATGGAGGACAAATCCCCCCGGCAGAGCCTGGTGGGAGAGGCCGTTTTGAAGGGCTCCCTGGTGCAGGAAGGCAGCGGGGAGGAAAAGGCCCGGAGATGCCCCCGGAGGAGGGGCTGCAAAGCCAGCCCAGGGAGCTCTGAGGAGGAAAGACCCGTCCTGTGCCAGGAAGGCGGCTGGAGCTGGAGCCGGAGCTCCGAGCTGGTGGTCCCTGAGCAGCCTCCCAGCAGGGAGAAGCCCTTCAGGTGCTTGGAATGTGGGAAGAGCTTCAGGGACAGCTCCGACCTTCTCAGGCACCAGCACATCCACACTGGGGAACAGCCCTAAACATGTGGGGAATGTGGGAAGAGCTTCAGCCAGAGCTTCAGCCTCCGCACCCACCAGCACATCCACACTGGGGTGTGGCCCTACATGTGTGGGGAATGTGGGGAGAGCTTCAGGAGCAGCTCCCACCTCCGTACCCACCAGCTCATCCATACTGGCGAAATGCCCTACTTGTGTAGGGAATGTGGGAAGAGGTTCAGGAACAGCTCCCACCTCCGTACCCACCAGCTCATCCATACTGGGGAACGGCCCTACAAGTGCTTGGAATGTGGGAAGAGGTTTCAGGACCAGCTCAGATCTCCTCGTGCATGAGCGGACACGCACAGGGGAGAGGCCCTTCCGCTGCACCGACTGCGGGAAGGGCTTCAACCAGAACTCCACCCTCGTCAGGCACCGGCGCATCCACACCGGAGAGAGGCCCTACAAGTGTGGGGAGTGTGGGAAGAGCTTCACCCAGAGCTCTACCTTGACCAGACACCAACGGACCCACCAGTAAGGGAAGGCCCTACGATTGCCTCGACTGCGGGAAGAGCTTCGGCCGCTGCTCCCACTCCAAATGACTCCCTGATGGTGAGGCAACCCCTGGAGTCCAGTGACTGTCAGTCCAACCCTTTCCACCAGAAAGGGCCAGTCCCCTTTGCCAGGGGCAGGTTGTGCCAACAGAACCCTTCTTGGGGGGTGTGGAGATTCCTGCCTTGACTGGGACCCCCAAGGTCACTGCTGGAGATTGAGAGCAGAGATCTCCCCACGAGCGTTGGTCTGGGGGAGTTCCATCCATGTCTAATTCATAATTCTTGCTTTGGTGCCAGCTTGAGTAGAATTGCTTCAACAATTGCTTTAGTGTAGAGCACTGTCCTATCTTATGCTGTACTAATGGTAGTTTTAGTGTTTCTATTGTGCAGTAAATAATTCTGATGAAGATCTTTTGTCTGATCATTTGTAACCCTAAATAATTCATTTCTATCAATAGATTTGATTTGCTATTATTAAAACCTGGGGGACAAAAGTGGTTCAGTCCACCTCTGTAATTCCTCTAAACTGAACCTGTTGGCATAACCCAAGGCTGAGATTGGATCCAGCAGCCCCAGCACCCCACAGTCAGTTGGGAGCTCAGGGGGTCACCCCGCTTTCGTAGTGCTTTTGGGCCCAAAGACCTCCTGGGGATCATCAGACCTGCCAGACCACCCTCCCTTTTCCACCCTTCTCCCTTTTCCTTCCACTTTTCCATTGTCCCTTCAATCCCCAGCCCCTCCAAGATCAGTTTTGTGGTCCCAATCCCGACATTTTTCCACACCCCTTCTACATCATCCCCCCACTCCCCAGCCCCCTCATGCTCAGTTTGGGGGTCCCACCCTACCCTTTCCCGACTCTTTTCACCTGTCCGACCCTTTCCCCATGAACCTCAGTCCCTCTCCACTTTAGGGAGGTCCCACTCCCCTCCCACTCAGTTTGGGGTCCCACCACCCCTTTTATCCCCTCTGACCCCCCTTTTCCCACCGACCTCCCCCTTCCCACCCCCTGCTCACCCGAGAGCTCCTCGCCCACAGCCGAGGGGGCTCCCAGCACCACCAGTGCCCAGAGAAGACCCCCCAGAAAAGGGGTTGGGTGGGGTCCTGGGTGGGCTCTGAGTGTGTCTGGGGGTGCTTGAGAGGCTTTGGGGAGATTTGGGGGGTCCCAGCACCTTTTGGGGTGAGCTGGGTGCCTATTGAGGGGCAGGTGCCCTCCCAAAGCCCCCCCAGAGTGGGGTGACACGGGGGGAACACAGGGGGGTCCCCATTCCCGATCCATCCCGAGGCCGGTTCTGCCCCCCCAAACTCGGCTCCACCCCTTGGGATCCTCCCAGCACCCCCCTAGTGCCCCCCAATAACCGGGACTGGGGCAACTGAGATCATACTGGGAGCACCTGGGCCCCTACTGGGGTCATACTGGGATCATACTGGGAGTGACAGCAATAATACTGGGAGTGTCTGGGAGGAACTGCAGCCATGCTGGAGATGAGTGGGATCAAACTGGCTTCCTATTGGAAGTGTCTGGAAGTTACTGGGATCATACTGGCGGTGACTGGACTCATACTGGGATCATACTGGGAGCAACTGGGACCATGCAGGGGGCAAATGGCATCATCCAGGCAGGGACTGACAGTGCCTGGGGCCATCCTGGACTGGGAGTCCCTGAGAGGGAAAGGAACCATCCTGGGGGGGCTGGGAGCAACTGGGACCACCTTGGGGGCAACTGGGATCCTATTAGGAGTGACTGGAAGTGACTGGGACCATAAGAGGAGTGACCAGCACCATGCTGGGATCATAGTGGGAGTGACTGTAAGGGACCAGGATCAAACTGGGAGTGACTGGAACTATGCAGGGGGGAACTGGGAGCCAGTGGGGCCATGCTGGAAGCCAAGTGGGAACATACTTGGAGCAACTGAGATCATGCTGGAAGCAACTGGGAGTAACTGGGAGTGACGGGGTGCATGCTGGAGGCAACTGGCATGAACTGGGAGTGACTGGGATCACACTGATGGGAACTGGGACCATCCTGGGGCAAGTGGAAGTCACTGGGTGTCATGGGTTTCTGTGGGTGGGTTTTGGTAGCAAGGGGGCTGCAGGAGTGGCTTCTGTTGGAAGCTGCCAGAAGCTTCCCCTGCCCCGTGGAGCCAATGCCAGCTGCTCCAGGACGGACTTGCTGCTGCTGGCCAAGGCTGAGCCCATCAGGAGCAACAGGAACAGCTCTGGGATAACAGATTTAGGGCCAGAAGGAATTGCAGCCAGGGAAGAGCGGAGTGGGAATGTGGGAACAGCAATGCAGACCACAAAGGGGGTGCAGAAGGAGGGGCAGGAGGTGCTCCACGCACCAGAGCTGAGGCCCCGCCAGCCCCTGGGGGAGCATCGGGGTGCAGAGACCCCCCTGCAGCCCCTGGAGGCTCCCACGCTGGAGCAGGGGGATGTAGGAAGGAGGCTGTGACCCCGGGGCAGGCCCAGGATGGAGCAGGTCCTGGCAGGGACCTGCAGCCCGTGCAGAGGGAAGCCCAGGCTGGAGCAGGTTTTTCCCAGCAGGACTCATGGCCCCTGTTGGGAACCCACGCCGGGTCAGCTCATCCCTGAAGGACTGACCCCATGGAGGAGGGACCCATGGGACAGCAGGGTGGGAAGAGCTGCTGCCCAAGGGATGGACTCACTGGAGAGGTCCATCCAGGACATCCAGGGAAGGATCCAACTCCTCTCCCTGAGCAGTGACAGAAACAACAACTGATTGTAACCCCCATTCCCATCCCCCTGCACTGCTGGGGGGAGGAGGGAGAGCTGAGAAGGAAGGAGGGGTGGGGGGAAGGTGTTTTTAAGACTGTTTTATTTCTCGCTCTTTGGCTTTTATCCTGTGAGTAATACATTTAAAAACTATCCCTACTTTGAGTCTCTTTTGCCCATTAGGAAGCAACTTCCTCTTGACCCTTATCTCTACTCAGGAATCCTCAGCTGTTTTTTTCCTCTCCTCTGTGGAGTTTCAGAGGGAGGGGGAGGGGGCAGCTTTTAGTGGGTGTTTGAAATCCAGCCAGGGTCAACCCACTAAACCAACCCATGTTCTTGAGACCCTTTTGTGATGTCACAGCCTACCTTCTCTGTTCCAGAATAGCCCTTGGCAACCAAAGAACCAACACCCCACAAGGTCAGAATGCAGCCCCACCCATGTGCCCCTTTAGGATGTCCCGGCCCATCCTCTCCATTCTGGAATAGCCCCTGGAAACCAAAGAACCAACACCCCACACCCCCACAGTGCAGCCCCACCCATCTGCCATGGGACTCTTTGGGAAGTCACAGCCTTTCCCCCAGGAAAGAAAGCCTGTAACCTTCGGGTTTCAGGTGCAGCTGGTGGGCCACCCTGGGCACTCCATGGGCACCAAGATCTTTCTGTCCTGGCACCTTTTGTCTGGCAGGAATCTTTGTCCAGATTCCAATTTGACAGTCAGACTGACAATTCCAGCGCGAGGCTCCTGCAAGCGAACGACAGCCCTGCCCTCCAGGAAAGAAACCCCTTCCCCTCGGCCTCTTTTCCTCTTCCTTCAAATACAACCTGCAGGGCAACTTTCTGCCATCTCTTCTCTTGGGAATTGTTAAGATAGACCCGCTCCCAGGTTTTCTCTCACCCCCCACACAATTGCTATAAGTCGAGAGAACGTTTATGCAGAAAAATGAGATTTGATTACGAAGAATAATATTAAGATTTATTTCTAGCAAGTTAAAAACTAAAGAACTATATCTACAACAATTCTGATTAGGTAAAAGTATTACGTATTTATAAAAATACCCTTACTCCTTTGTACCAGTTCAGGAGGAGAAGGAGTCTCTTTCAAGAGCTCCAGGTCTCAAAAGTTCATCTTCTATTATCTCTAGGATAACAACTCTGATTTTTTGCAGCTGGAACTGTTTTTCTTTCTCTCTCTTCCCTCTATGTTGGCCTCAGGGCTGGGCCTACCCCCCTCCTGGGCTAAGACCAGAGCCTGGGGGGTTACCCAGGCCCTGTAGGGTCTTCCATGGACTGCAAAGAGACACTTGCCTACCATGGATCTTCACCACAGAGTCACAGGGGATAATGGCTTTTGAGTCCATGCCTGTTTCCTGTGGGGTCCCTTCCCACAGGAGAACAGTCTTTGATAGACCTCTCCAACATGGGTTCATCCCTCGGACAACAGTTCTTCCATTCTCTGCTTTCCCTCAGGGTTACAACATCAGCTTCACTAGCATGGATCCCTCACTGAGATCCCACATCCTATCCAAGCTGTCTCACTCCAGCCTAGGTCTCTCTCTCCATGGGCCACAGGTCTCCAGCAGGACTCTGTTTTATTCTAGGCTTTCTCATGGAGTCACATGTTCTTCAAGCATTCTTCTTTAAGCATGGGCTCCTTCATGAGTTGCAGAGGGTCGTCTCTGCTCCCCAACAGTTTTCCACTTGTGGCAGGGATTTTTAGTTTTCAGTCTCTTCCCTGCTGAAGGGAGAGAGAGAGATAGAGAGAGAGAGAGAAAGAGAGAGAGAGAGAGGAAAAGTAGCCCCCACTTCAAGCTTCTCTTCCCTCTCCTCTGACTGCTAGCTTTGACCTTGGAGGCTGTGCTATCTCTCTGGAATTCCTTTTGCAGCATGTCTTGTCCAGGTTCTTCTCTGAAACTTTTTTTCTCTCTACTCTGTTACAAGAGAGAAGGGGGGCTTCAGTGCCACAACTGCCCCCAGCCTAGGGCCAGGGGAGGAGGGGGCTCTGGCCCCCTTGGGGCTTGCCTCCTCTCCTACATGGCTACTAATTTCATCTGCATCACCACCTTCTCTTTCGTTTCTTTAATATGTAATTGACAGAGGCATTACTAAAACTTCTGATTGGCTTTTTCTCCAGAAATCCACCTAGAGAAAACCATTTTCAGCCCCAGTGGGGGAAAGGTTTGGCAAAACCACAGCAAAGTTGGATGGACAGTCCCAACTCTCTCCAAGATCAGTCGAGGGCTCTGAGCCAGAGAGGGGATGAGAGCCAGGTACAGGCTTGGGAATTACCAGGATGGCTTTTGAAATTAATGTAGGGAAGGGGATGTCTCAGAACAATTTCCTTAGGAGAGGGAAGCAGAGAGGCCCAGCACTGGGGTGTGCAGGGCAGAGCAGAGAATCTCCCCCATGTAAGATTCTTGTGGGTCTGTCTTTGCAGTTCTGACAGGTACTGCTTGTCACGGCCCATCCTCTCCATTCCAGAACAGGCCCTGGCAACCAAGGAACCAACACTCCACAACAGCACAGTCAGACCCACCCATGTGCTTTGAACCCTTTTGTTATGTCATGGTCTATCCTGTCCATTCTGGAATAGCCTATGGATACCAAAAAACCAAGCCCTCACCATGTGACAGTTCAACCCCATCCGTGTGCAAAAGGCTGCTTTGTGATGTCACAACC